TCGGGGGACAATTTGTCCTTCTGCAGGTTCCAGAGGCTGCCTGCTTTCTTTGGCTTCTGGCCCCTCCTTCCATCGTCGAAGTAGGCAAGGGGGGGTTGGGTCCTTCTCGGCACCACATTACTCTGACCCTCTCTGTCGCCTTCTTCCACTTTTCAAACAAAAGTCAAGGTGGGATGCATAGACCTCACAAACGACCATGTGAAGGTCAACAACTAAGGGATCCAGAATGTCGTGCCACCAGCACCTCTCTGGAGCTCCAGAACGTTTGCATCACTCCCGAAGGAAGCCCGTCTACTACGCGGCGGCTCCCCAGTCCTTCCATCTCCAGCCCCTGGCGACTGCCGGTCTGCGCCGTCATTGTGGATTCACCGATTCCCTGCAGTTCATATAAAGGGACTCCTACGCTGTGTGACCTTCTACATCTGGCTTCTTCCACTTTAGCATCGTGTTTCTGAGGTCCCTACTTCCACTTTGAAGGAGCCTTGGAAGAGGGAGCGCTGGGGGGGGGGGGGATAAGAGGCTAGGAAGGAGCTGAGGGTGGGAGGAATGAAGTGGGGCAGGGCGGGGCTCCCCAGAGTTCCGGATGTGTTCCATTACGGGGTAGTTGAGGCAGAGATTCTGACTTAAGGGACCCAGAAAATGGCCCAGGGGATTCTGGTGCAGCCAGTGTGTGTGTGTGTGTTCCACTCTGAGGAATGCTGGTGTAGATCCTAGAGGTCTTTTTTGTTTGTAAGGATTTTTAACTTTATTCATTTGGGAGAGACAGAGTGATCACACAGCAGGCGGAAGGGCAGAGGCAGAGGGAGAGGTAGCCTCCCGATATCAATTTTTTAACCTACTCAAGACCTCCAGGACCGGGGCACCCGGGTGCCTTGATTGGTTGGGCATCTGCCTTTGCCTCAGGGCATGGAGCCTGCTTCTCCCTCTGCCTGTGTCTCTGCCTCTCTGTGTGTCTCTCATGAATAAATAAATACAATATTTAAAAAAAAGAATTGCTACAATAGGAGTCAGAAATGAGGAGGGCTGAGGAGTCAGAGGCTATAATCACACGGTAGGATTTCTGAAGCTGGAGAGTCTTTGAACCTGCTGAGCTCCCTCATTCCCACCTCCAGACCGGCCCAGCAGCCTCACACCATGCTCTCCAGATATATAGTTGTGAGTGTGCTAGTACCCACATTAAAGAGGTAAAAGGAAACAGGTTAAGTTAATTTTAATACTATTTTCTATTTAACTCAACACAGCCAAAATCTTATCATTCATTCACTATATAATTATTATGAAACAATTGAGATATTGTCTTTTTTTTTTTTTTAAAGATTTTTATTTGTTTACTCATGAGAGACACACAGAGAGAGGCAGAGACCCAGGCAGAGGGAGAAGCAGGCTCCATGCAGGGAGCCCGCCACGGGACTCGGTCCCAGGACTCTGGGATCACGCTCTGGGCCCAAGGCAGGTGCTCAACCGCTGAGCCACCTGGGTGTCCCCATCCTTTTTTTTCTAAGCCTTCAGAATCCAGTATGTATTTCACAGCTGCATCACATCTCGGTTTGGACCAACCACATTCCGAGCGCTCAGTAGCCACATGTGGCTTGTGACCTCCTTGCTGGTCAGCACAGGCTAGAATGCTCCTGCGCGACCAGCTCCGTGTCATTGAGGTCTCTGCCCAGAGATACCTTCCCCAGCCATGCAGTCGGTCTAAAGCAACCACCTTCTGCTCTTGGCACTGCTTTTTTTTTTTTTTTGCATGTGTTGAGACATCAGTATTTGATATTTTATTATTTGTTTGCTTTATTATCTGCGTCCCTGTAGGACATAAGTCCCGTGAGGGCAAAGACCTGTCTGCCTAGCAACTGCATCGCATCCACCTAGACTCTCAACAAATGTTTATTGAATGACTTTGAGGATCCCAGATTAGTCATTTGTTGTCTCTAAGGCCCAGGGCATTCGGCAGGGTGACAGGGAGGCGGCGAGAGGGAGGATCATTATGCAAGAAATGGGGTGGGAGGGAGCCAGCCTGAAAGCTCAGAGACGGATTCTCAGATGTCAAGTCAGAGGCCAGGTTTCTTGCCAGCCGCGACCGGACTGTGTGTGACTCAAGCAGCCGGTTCTGGGTGAGTCGGGCCGCCCGCTGGCATTTCTGCTGGGCACCGGTAGATGGGGCCGCGCCACACGGAAAGAGCTCTGCGGCCACCCGACGCCTGCCGGCCCCGGCCCCACGTCGCTCTATTCTGTTCTGGACCCACCGCGTGTCAGGTCCGTGGTGCGGGCTCAGAAATGGTGCGGCCAGCCTCCACCGTGTGACAAGGTGGGGCGGTCCCAGGGCCGGCCCAGGTACTCCCGGTGTGGGAGAGCCCAGGCTGCGGGAGCAGCTCCGCGGGCCTCTGGGTCCAGAGCCCCTGGCCCGCGGGGGCCTCCTCCTTGCTGCCAGGTGCTGCCGAGGGCGCCCTGGTGTCCAGCACCCGCCTCCTTGTCTTCCCCACACTCTTCTGACCCTGGGACCCTGGGAGCTCCATGTAGGGAATGGTGACCTGCTCGAGTGTGATATCCACTATCGTAGAGGCGAGACTTTGCGATTATGGACCCGCTAAGGTTAATTTGGTTTTTACCAGACTTTTCTATTTGGAGCACATACAGTCTACCTGATTGCTGCTGCAAGATGTTCCAGAAATGGGAGCAGAAGAGGAACTAACCTTGGCTTAAACGGCTTATTATAGTCCTAGCTGGCTCATTGCGGCGCCAGACCCGAGATCCCTGGTCTCCCCTCATTAGCCTTGGAGTCCCTCCATTAGCCCATTTGTGCAGCTGGGGAGAAAGGCATCGTAGCTCTGGTCTAATGACACCCTGAGGCGAGAGTCAGCATGAAAAGGCCGTTCCTTCTCTCGGAGACTAGAAGGGCCTGAAAAGCACCGTCGGGAAACTTTGCACTTTTATCATTATAATCCATAAACTCCGTCCTAATCTGCACACATGCATGTTTCCATTCTATAATTTTGCTGTCCTCTGTATCCAGAAAGCCCTTTGGTTCTTCCCCGCTTGGAGAAATCCTGCTCATTTTCTTTAAACATCACCTTGTGTGGAGCCTTTTCTGGTTTTCCTACTCACAAGCAACCTTCCCTTCTTCCAGCTTTTCATAGTTCTTGGGGTCTTTCTCCAGGCACATAGCCTGCTCTGTCTTCTCATTCACACGCGTGTCCCAGTCATTAGTTCAACAATCAAGTGGTGCCTGTTTGTGGCAGGCACCGGAGGATACAGGGCTCCTCAGAGTTTCAGTGCAAGGCCAGAGCTGGGAGCAGTTTACACCCTTCATTGGACTGAGAGCCCCTTGGAGATAGGAACTGGGTCTGCTCCTCGCTCAGGGCCTGGCACTGAAAAGCATTCAGAAAAGTCACATTGAAACTCAGCACCACTGGGAAAATTGCGTTAGGATTTAAAGAAAGGTTAACAGTCAGCAGAGGTGGGGCTTCAGAGACTTTCCAGGAGGGGCTACAGCGGTTGTGAAATCAGTGGTTTGAGCATGGAAGCCAGAGATATCCAAGATCCCCAGTGGATTGGGCCCGTGGGATCGGGGGCTCCACAGATGTAGGATCATCTGGACATTTATCACACATCCCAGCTTGAAGTTTTTGTTTTTTGTTTTGTTTTGTTTTGTTTTGCTTTGAGCAGAGCATGGAGGCAAGCAGGTTGCTTTGGGGGCCCAGACGTGAGTTACCACCAGCCAAGGGTCAAGCTGGTCAGAGGGTTAAAGCTGTGCTGCTCAGTCAGCCCAGGAGAAAAGTATAATGGTGCGATTGTCATTCATAGTGGAGGGTGGCTGAGCACGGAATGAGACACCGAAATAAAAAGTCATTTGGATTTTTTTTAAAGATTTGTATATATATATATTTTAGACACAGAGAGAGAGGCAGAAACACAGGAGGAAGGAGAAGCAGGCTCCATGCCAGGAGCCCGACGCGGGACTTGATCCTGGGACTCCAGATCACACCCTGAGCCAAAGGTAGGTGCCAAACCACTGAGCCACCCAGGGATCCCCTGGATTTTTTTTTTTTTTAAGATTTTATTTATTTACACATGAGAGACACAGAGACCCAGGCAGAGGGAGAAGCAGGCTCCATGCAGGGAGCCCGATGTGGGATTCCATCCCAGGACTCCAGGATCATGCCCTGGGCCAAAGGCAGGTGCCAAACCACTGAGCCACCCAGGGATCCCCTGGATTTTTTTTTTAAGATTTTATTTATTTATTCACGAGACAGAGAGAGAGAGAGAGAGAAGCAGGCTCCCTGCAGGCATCCCGCGACCGGGGGTCACACCCTGGGCTGCAGGCAGGTGCTCCACGGACAGGTGCTCCACCGCTGCGCCCCCGGTCGTCCCTCATCTGGGCTTTTTCCGAGGCATCTCAGCCCAAGCCATGTCCGCGATGTCATGACGGTGAGTGTCCGGTAACCGCAGCGGGGATGGCTCGTAGCCGCTGGTCCTGGGCCGGGGGCCCGGGGTGCTCGGGGTGCGGCCGGGCACCTGCTGCTGGGCGGGGCGCGGGCGCCGCGCAGTCCCCCCGCCCCCGTCCCGTCCGGGGGTCCCCTCGGGGGATGGCGTGGGGGCGCCGGGTCAGCCCCTCCGCGACCTTGCGCGCCCCCCGCCCCCGCCGCGCTGTGGGCGCAGACAGGCCCCGGGGCGAGCGGCCGCCGGCCGGGGCGCAGCGCGGGGGCGGCGGGGCGGGTGCGCGGGCCCTTTAAGGGAGCGGGGCCCGCGCCCGGGCGCCCCCCCCGCGGCCCGCGGCGAATGGTTCGCGCCGGGCCTATAAGTAGGGAGCCCGGGCGCGGGCGGCGGCGAGGCTGCGGCGCCGCGGGGACCCGGAGCGAGCCCGGCATGCGCCCCCCGCGCCCCCCGCGGCCCGCGTCTGAGCCCCGGGAGCCGCTCGGGCCGCGCGCGTGGCCGCCGAGGCGCGGGGTGTCCGGCGGGGCGGGGGCGGGGGCGCGGGCGCGGGCGGGGGTGCGGGCGCGGGAGCGGGAGCGGGCGCGGGTGCGGGCGCGGGCGCGGGCCCGGGCGGCCTCCCCGCGCTAGCCGGCCCCGCGGCCCTGCCCCGGAGATGCTGCCCTGGAGGAGGCACAAGTTCGAGCTGCTGGCCGAGGCGCCGCGGCAGGCGGCCAAGCCCAAGGGCTACGCGCTGCGCCTGCACTACTCGGCGCTCGGCTCGCTGGCGCGGGCGTGTCCCGAGGGCGCGCTGAGCCGGGTGGGCGGCATGTTCCGCTCCAAGCGCAAGAAGCTGCGCATCACCAGCGAGGACCCCACCTACAGCGTGCTCTACCTGGGCAACGCCACCACCATCCAGGCGCGCGGCGACGGCTGCACCGACCTGGCGGTGGGCAAGATCTGGAGCAAGAGCGAGGCGGGCCGCCAGGGCACCAAGATGAAGCTGACGGTGAGCGCGCAGGGCATCCGCATGGTGCACGCCGAGGAGCGCGCGCCGCGCCGCCCGGGCCACCTGTACCTGCTGCACCGCGTCACCTACTGCGTGGCGGACGCGCGGCTGCCCAAGGTGTTCGCCTGGGTGTACCGGCACGAGCTCAAGCACAAGGCGGTGATGCTGCGCTGCCACGCGGTGCTGGTGTCCAAGCCCGAGAAGGCGCAGGCCATGGCGCTGCTGCTCTACCAGACGTCGGCCAGCGCGCTGGCGGAGTTCAAGCGGCTCAAGCGGCGGGACGACGCGCGGCACCAGCAGCAGGAGCTCGTGGGCGCGCACACGGTGCCGCTCGTGCCGCTGCGCAAGCTGCTGCTGCACGGGCCCTGCTGCTACAAGCCGCCCGCCGAGCGCAGCCGCAGCGCGCCCAAGCTGGGCCCCATCACCGAGGACCCGCTGGGCGAGCAGCAGGAGCAGAGGCTGCAGGAGGAGGAGGAGGGCGAGGAGGGGGAGGGGGAGGACGACGACGACGAGGACGAGGACGAGGACGGGCGGCCCGAGGGCTGCCTGGAGGAGGACGACAGCGAGGACGGCGCGGGGGAGCAGGACGAGGCCGAGGCCGAGGCCCGCCGAGCGCTGGCGGCCGCCTTGCACCTGGGCTGCGGGGACCTGCTGGGCCCGCGGGAGGGCGGCGGGGGCTCGGCGGGGCCTGTGCCGCCGGGCGCCTCCTCCGAGCGGGCCGCGCTGTCCCAGCTCATCCGCGGCCTGGGAGCGCTCAGCTTCGGCAACGACGTGCGCAGCCTGAGGGCCGACCTGCGGGTCACGCGCCTGCTGTCGGGAGACAGCGCGGGCTCCACCGAGGGCTGGACCGAGGGCTGGACCGAGGGCTGCCCCTGCCCCGAGGGCTGCACCTATGGCTCCACCGAGGGCTGCCCCTGCCCCGAGGGCTGCACCTATGGCTCCACCGAGGGCTGCACCTGCCCCGAGGGCTGCACCGACGGCTGCACCGAGAGCTGCACCGAGGGCGGGGACCCGGACGCCCCCCCAGCCCCCGCCGCCAGCCCCGAGGAGCCCCGCTCCGGCTGAGACCTGGCGCCCCGCGGGGACCAGCCCGCCCCGGCCCCCGCCCGCACCCCGCGGCAGGGAGACGGTCGGTCCGAGGGTCGAGGCCCAGAGGCGCTGCCCTCCTGCTCCGCACGGGGTGGGGGGCGCGGGACCGGGGCTCGGGGTGACTCGGAGATGTGCAGGGCCCACCCGCAGGGACGCGGGGAGGCTGGGCTGGGGGATGCCCCAGCCTGCTTGGCGAGCCCCTCCGGCTGCAGGCCCATTAGCTGCAGCCCCCACCGGCTGCAGGCCCATTAGATGCAGCCCCCACCGGCTGCAGGCCCATTAGATGTGGGCCCACTAGTTGTAGCCCCCCACTGGCTGCAGCCCCCCCACCAGTTGCAGGCCTACCAGCTGCAACCCCCCCAACTGCAGACCCCCGTTACCGGGTGCAGCCCCCCCCCACCAGCTGCAGGCCCTCGGGTTTCCTGTTTGCCTGAGCAGGAGGCATTAGTCCCTCCCCTGACCCCACCGACTGACAACAGGGGGGGCGAGGCCTTGTGGGGGGGGGAGGCCTAGCGCTGTCCTTAAAACACATTTTCTTTTTGGCTCTCACGAGGACTTTGAGGCTGCAATGCCACCTCTCTGCCCCCAGTCTTTTCAGTCTCTTCGGCAAGAGCCTGGGTTGTTTACCTTAGACTCAGACCCTTGACGTTCTGCCAAATTCCTCAAATAACTGTTTGGGGGTGGGGGCGGCGGCGGTGGAGAGATGGAAGAAAGTTGCAATTTGTTTACAGCGAAAGACATCTAATATCTAAAAAAAAAAAAGTTTTTCGTTTAAAGACACACTTTTCTCCTGCTCAAAGGACGTCCCTCCATGATCCTGTGTAAAATATTTTGCACTGTTGTGAAGTATTTTTGACTTTTTTTGTACATAACTGTTCTGAGAGCTAAATGTTTATATCTTTTGCTGTGCAAAAGACATGTAAGATGTTGTTCAGTTGTATATACAGAAATGTGTATAAAACATCTCGTTATTTTTTAAGAGTGGCACCGCTCTGGTTCTGTTTGCACAGGGGGCCGTGGGGAGAGAATAAAAAGGACGATGTCACAGCACAGGTGAGCGTCTGGAAGTGCTGCTGAAATCACTGGTGGTGGGGCTGGAAGGGGGCCTGCCCCCCCCCCCCTCCGAGCCTGCCCAGGGTCCAACATGGTCTGGCCTTTGCAGTGCTTGGACGTGATTCCAGAAGGGGGGCCCGTTTGCATCGTCCTGCGTGGCCGTGGTGCGTCCGTGGTGCCCGCTCTCCTCCCCTTGACTGCACCTTCCCGTAGTAAATACTGTGTGTGTGTGTGTGTGTGTGTGTGTGTGTGTGTGTGTGTTGGGGGGGTTGGACTTTTTCTGGTCTCTCCGAGTTAATTCTTGGAGAGGCAGGGCAAGTGCTGGTCCTCAGTCCCGGACTCGTGAGGTTATTTAGGGAGGAGTGACTTTTGAGGTATTCTGAGGTTTGGCACCTTCTGGGGTTCGCCTTTTCCTTCACAACTGCTCAAGGGGCTTTACAGATCAACGGGGGACCCGAAGAAAGTGTCCGGGGGGGGCTCTGTTGGCTGCGGGGCCGTCTCTGCTCGCCCTGGGAGGAAAGTCCGGGAGAGAGAGGAAGGTTGCTGGGTCCTGCTCGGGCGAGGGCGAGTGAGTCATGGGCAGGTGGGGCCGGGTGGGAGGCGGCGGAAGGACCTATTTCCTTCCCTTCGACAACACAGCGTGACCCAGCGGGGGACCGGCGCGGAGGTCAAGGCCCACAAGACCTGCTCGAGCTTGGTCTGTGTGTGTGAGTGTGTGTTTGTCTCGGGTTTTCGGGCTTTCTGTGAGCTTGTTTCTGTTGTAAACTCCAAACAGATGTCCCCGGTTCAGCTACGCCCGGTCAGCTGCAAGCTGTCCTAAGGCGCTGCCAAGACTGCCTGCCTCCAACTATTTGTTCCCTTTGCCCCTTTGGGCTCCGTTTCCTGTTGCAGAAATGAGTCCCACTCCTGGTCTTCCCTGCCGTCGGGAGGCCGCTCTGCTTTGTTTTCACCGTGATTATGTTTTGGGCAGCGAGGCCCAGTCCCCAGGAGCCTGGAATCCGTTGCAACCAAGGAGGAAGGGAGGGCGAAAGATTTTCTTCCTAATTAACAGGAGCGGTTTAAGCATAAGATTAATCTAAAAACAAAAAGCAAAGGGTTGGCGGGTGAGTGGGAAATAACTCTAAGATACTCAGAATCACTTTGTAAGGGCATTAGGACAAGGTCCAGGCCTTGGAATCTGTTCTGTCTGGTTTGGTCGCAAGTCCCAATCCTTCTCCCCAAATACCCCAGATACACATCACTGCATGCAATTGAAAACCCCAGGTAGAGAGAGGTCAGGGGAGTAAGATCCCCGTGGGCCTTCCCCGCAGCTCTCACCTGACCAGCAGGCAGCTGTGTGGCCCGTCACTATCTTGCATGACTGGATTTCACATTTCAAGTTATTTTCACCCATTGCCAAGTTCCTCTGCTCTTTGAAACTGGTGAGAACATCAAAGAGGGTGAAGATCATAGGGTGAATTGTTGGTGGGGGGGCAGGGTCGACATGTCTTTGTTCTTTTTTTATTTTTTTATTTTATTTTTTAAAAACGATTTTATTTATTTATTCATGAAAAATACAGAGAGAGAGAGAAGCAGAGACACAGGCAGAGGGAGAAGCAGGCTCCACACAGGGAACCTGACGTGGGACTCAATCCCGGGACTCCAGGGTCACGCCCTGGGCCGAAGGCAGGCGCTAAATCGCTGAGCCACCCAGGGATCCCCCGTTCTTTTTTTTTAAGATTTTTTTTTTTTTAATGAGAGTTTGGGAGTGGGGGAGGGGCAGAGGGAGAGGGAGAGCCAAGCAGACTCCCCACCGAGTGTAGAGCCTGCGGCCCCCAGGCTTGATCACACGACCCTGAGATCCTGACCTGATCTGATATCGGGCACCCCTATGCGCCCTCGTTCTTAACCAATTAATGGTCTAGTGACGATGCCGAGGTTGGCTTCTACCTGTGACTGATGGCGGCATGGCGATTGGTCGGAAAGTTCGGACAAATGACATTTAAACCAACGCCATCAATAAATATAGGGCAACTGTCTCTCCAGAGTCTGATTTTCCCAGTTATCTGATTTATAAACAGGGAAGGTCGAGGAAGGAGGAAGAAGAAAATAAGCAGAATGCAAAAGAACCGGTTCCCTCCCTGACTCCTGGCTCCGTCCCCTTCCCTCGACTTTTTGGCGTTTAGCCCCACTGCACCCCAGAGCCCTCCGGCTGATGTAACTCTAGAAGAGATGCGAAGGTGATAGGTGATTCACCTCTTCTTACATCTCAGTCTTCCAGGGATGATATCACTAGTGTAAGAAGAGAAGTTTGAATGAAAACAAAACAAAACAAAACAAAACTGAACACTAATTTCCTCCTGACACTCATAGGGGAAAGAGTGGTGTGTCGGAGAACTTGGATGATGCTCACCTTCCAGGGAGCGCCTGGGGTCTCATTTCCTCATCACATCTGGCTTTTCCTCTTGAAGGAGAGGCTCATGTTTCTGCTTTGCGTAACCCGATGGTACTTTACATGCAGTGAATGCTTTCCACCTTCCTCCTCAGCCCGAGTAGTCCTGTGTGGCTGACAGCGTGCTTGACAGCATGAAATGTGGAGTGACGTCGCGGCCAGAGAGACCTTGCAGGGCGGAGGCTCTCCTCGATGGCGAGAGCGTCCTCCCTGTCCTTTGTATCCTTGGCTGTGTGTCGTCGGTGGGGGGACGGGGAGGTGGGGCGACGCCAGCCCACGGTGGTCCGCAGCTGCCTGGGCACCTAGGACCGCGTGTTGTCAGGGGGGATGGGGAGGTGGGACAACGCCAGCCCATGGTGGTCCGCAGCCGCCTGGACACCTAGGACCATCGGCGGGCGATGGAGGAGGCACCGATGCCAGGGCTCAGGGCACCCTGCACTCTGGGCGCCAGGTGTTTGCGCCCACGGCCACATCTGGCCCTGCCTTTATGCAGCCAGGCATTTCCTGCTCCGGCCTGCTGCTCTGTGTCCACAGGCCACAGTGTTCCTGAGGCCAGCCCCCCCCACCCCGTGACCTGCTCCGAGGGGACCCCATGTGACAGCCTTGATTGAGCACCGTTTTGCCAGCTTGAAAGGTGGGGAGGGGCTGGAGCTTGACACTCATTCCTCCTCTCTGGGTTGGTTCCGTGGCACCAGCGGCATGGCATGTCTCTCACCACCTCCCCCCCCCCCGAGGGTGGCCCCATGGACACCCTCTCTCCGGCTCAGTCCCGTCCCATTTCCTCCTGGAACGCATCACTTCCCTCTGGCTTCTCCGATTGCCCGGCTTCCCACACCTTCCTGTCTTCATTTCTTGTCCTTCTCACAAGCCTCACTCAGACCCTACACATCAAAGGAAGCCCCAAGTTTAAGGGACAAACACCCCAGACACACAGTCACCAGCTGGCAGCAGCCCTGCAACCCCTGGGCACGTGCTGGCCCCGCTGCCCATCTCAGACCAACAAACTGGGTCTTCAAGGGGGGGTGTCCTGCGCGAGGTCACCCAGGCTGCAGACTCTGGAGCCCACGCTCTTCTCACATTTCTCCAGCTCTTAATGCTTAGAACCAGATTTTTATTTTTATTTTATTTTTAAAGATTTTATTTATTCATGAGAGACACAGAGAGGCAGAGACACAGGCAGAGGGAGAAGCAGGCTCCATGCAAGGAGCCCGATGTGGGACTCGATCCTAGGACCCGGGGATCACGACCTGAGCCAAAGGCAGATGCTCAACCACGGAGCCACCCAGGTGTCCCAGAACCAGATTTTTAGCTTTGGGATCCCAGAAAGTGGCAGTTGAATTTCTCTGCGATTTCCCCCTTTCTCTATGTTTCATGCATGGCGGACGCTTGATAGTGTCTGTCACGCCATTCGTAGACGGGGCACTCCTGCCACCAGGTGTGAATGAGTGTGTCCTGGCCGCCTGATGCTGGAGGTGGAAAGGGCGGGTGGTGTCTTTGGGGCCGGAATGCTCCGGGTGGGTGGGGAGGCGGCCCCCAGAGGCACCTGGCTCCTCTCGCTTCTGCCCTGAGATCTGGTCCGACGAGATCTCACCCTAGAAGAGCAGGTCTAGTTTGAGGGTGGGGGAGCTCTTCCCATTGCATCATGATTATTAATCATCCGTGTCTGTCCTGGTCGCCTGGATAGCCAAGGACAGGCGTGTGTCTTCAGGCATCTCTGATTCACCAAGCTTAGCACAGAGCCTTGTGGCAGCTGGCCCCGGGAAAGGCTGCGGAGGGACCGGGAGGAGTGCTCCGGCCAGGGGAACGGTGGGACAACAGGGCATTGCCTGGATGGGGGAGTAGAGGCTCCTTTGTTTTTTGTTGTTCCTTTTTTTTTTCTTTTTTTAAAGATTTTACTTATTTATTCATGAGAGACACAGAGAGAGGCAGAGACCCAGGCAGAGGGAGAAGCAGGCTCCACGCAGGGAGCCCCATGCGGGACCCGATCCCGGGCTTTCAGGGTCACCCCCTGGGCTGCAGGCAGGTGCCAAACCCTGCATGGGAGCCCGACATGGGACTCGATCCCAAGACCCCGGGGTCACGCCCTGGGCCAAAGGCAGATGCTCAACCGCTGAGCCACCCAGGGGTCCCTGTTGTTGTTCTTTTTGTTGCTAGAGAGAGAGATGGACAGAGTGTGAGATGGGAGGAGGGGAGAGGGAGAGGGAGACAGAGAATCCTTAGCAGGCTCTGGGCCCAGCATGGAGCCCAGTGTGGGGCTCAATCTCACGACCCTGAGATCATGACCTGAGCTGAAATCAGGAGTTGGCTGCCTAACCGGCTGAGCCTCTCAAGGGTTTGAGGACATATATTTATAAAAGAGGGAGGATTGGGGTTCAACTGACTCCTCTACAGGAGGTAGACTCGATTCCTAAGAGTTTCCTTGGAGCTTCCCTGGCCTTCCTCGGGAGGGTTGGTTCTACTTTGAAGAAAGATGGTTTGTTTGGAATTGGCTCTGGATGGAGTTGGGGTCCCCTTCCTGCTCATGTCAGCCCCAAGGTTATAGCCTCAGTCCCTCGGGTTGGAGTCACAGGAAGGTTCAGAAGGCTTGAATGCTGCTGCAGCGCGGCAGGAAGCCCGAAGGAAGAGCCTTGGGGGCAGTCCTCGGAGTGACCTGGAGCCCCTCCCTCTGCAGTAACCTGATCCAATCACTTCCCTCCGTGGCCTCAGGCCCCTCAGGAGCGGAGTGGACTGGTCGGTCGAGTAATAGCAAGGCTTCCAGCATTAGTGCCATGAATTGAAGGAGAACAGAGGTTAAGTTCGGGTGTTTTCCTGCATCCCTACATCCCATCCCTAGTGGGACACAATAGAAGACACCTCTGACCCGGGACTCTGGGGATCAGGGCTCGTCTCGGGGACCCACTGTGGCCTGGACCCCCCGTCCCCATCCAGGGTTTAATGTGGAAGTGCTCTTGGCTAGGCCAGGCAGCCCTTCCACCACCTCAAAGCTCGGAAGCCTCAGTGGGTCCCAAAATGGGGACCGACACTGAATCTGAGGGCCAGGTCAGGGCCAGGTAAGGGAGCATAAGAGGACTCGCCCAAGGTGGATCTCTCAGCAGGATGCAGCCAACCTCTTCCCAAGGCACCACCCTGCCCTCCCCTCGAGACTCAGCAGGACGAGCGGGGTCCCTCCTCGGGCCGTGGCCAACTGTGTGCATGAGAAGCTCCCTTCCCTTCTGCAAGGGGTAAGCTCCGTGATTTTGTCTCCTCAAGCTATTGTTTCACAGCCTACAGTGGATGTCTCTTCCCTAAATGCCCCTTTTAGGGAATTAACATTTTATTTTTATTTTTTAAAGATTTTACTTATTTATTCACGAGAGACACAGAGAGAGAGGCAGAGACCCAGGCAGAGGGAGAAGCAGGCTCCCCACTGGGAGCCTGATGCAGGACTCCATTCTGTGACCCCGGGGTCACGCCCTGGGCTGAAGGCAGCTGCTCAACCACCGAGCCACCCAGGCGTCCCTAGGGAGTTAACATTTTAATAGAGGACTCTTGAATCTTCAGAGCCCCTGAGATATAAAATGCCAAATAAGAAGGGGTTTGGGGGCACCATGATGGAAGGAGGCAGGAAGAAACATTTTGGTGCAGGGAGCACCTCTCCTCACTTTACAGATGTCCTGACACCATAACCATCTTCCCGAAGGTTCCACTCTTGCTGCTGAACTCATACAGAAAAAGAGAAAGTAAAAAAAAAAAAAGAAAGAAAGAAAGAAAAAAAAAGTGCTGTTTCCAAGGTCATGTGAGCTCACGGAGGGAGGGGGGTGGGTGGGGCCACAGGGTCCGCATCAGCGGGCTTTCAGTTCTGTGTTCCAGTTCAGGGCTTGCAGATGATTCCCAGGCACCATCTCAGTCTGCAAAACCAGCAGCAGCAGTTCCTTATTTACGGCTGCTGTCTGTCGTCCGCCAAGGCCTCCTCTGCAGAGAAGCTTGTCTTCGCCTTTGCCTGCCACGTTGCACCCCAGGGCCCCCGATTCTTGGATTCTCAGGGAAAACTGTTCACCACCTGGTTTCCAGTGGAAGAGCTCATCTCTTTAAGAGAGCACCATGGGGGAGCCCTGGGTGGCTCAGTGGTTTGGCACCTGCCTTTGGCCCAGGGTGTGATCCTGGGGTCCCAGGATCGAGTCCCGCATCGGGCTCCCCGCATGGAGCCTGCTTCTCCCTCTGCCTGTGTCTCTGCCTCTCTCTGCGTCTTCCACGAATAAATAAATAAAATCTTAAAAAAAAAAAAAAAGCACCACGTGCTTAGGTGCTCCTGGTTGTCTTAGACCAAACCAAATAGTGCTTGTCCAAAAGGGATGTGCAGGTGCCCTGAGCTGTGGGAGGCCCATCCTCTCGTACCTGCCGCAGTTGTTGCCGCAGAGGAGAGCTCCCAGAGTCCACGGCTGACCAGACCTGTTTGGACGTGTTCACGCTGCTGAGGTCAAAGGAAGTCTTAGCCTTACACTGTGTCTCCACCGTTCCATTCCTTGACCTCGGTCTTAGCAAATGTCCCATACTAGCTGACAGATATGGGGTTGGTGGTTGGGGAGGGTGGCAGGCCCATTCCTGTGCACAAGGCTCTACGAAATGGCTGGACGAAAACCGGACTTGGGATCCGGTGCCAGCCCTGGTTTTCCTAGACAGTCGTTCTTTACCTCAAACAAATCTCCTTTGGGGGGCCAGTTCTTTCTGCGAAACAGAGATAGTAATATTCAAACTTCCTCTCAGATCGTTTTGAGGTCCAAAATCTAAAAAATTGGACGAACAGGTGCTTTGTCAAGGGTAGCGCAGGAAAGGAGTGGCTGCTCCTGGAATATTTAGATCGAGATAACAGTGGGGACGAGTGAGCCTTAGTGGGGCTCCCCCATAGCGCGAATGTGTCATGGGCAGGAACATTTTCCATGAAGCACATTCCAGGACCGACGGAGGGAAAACAGGCAAAATGAGAAGTAATCTATTAAGAATAGGAAACAGTAGGTGGGTGTCTAAATGGCATGCCCTATGTGGAAAGATTATGGGCTAACTTTCCGTCTGACACTCCAGATAGCCCTGTGTACTCCGTGGCTCTGTCTCCAGCCCAGTCTCTTCCATCAGGTGTGGCAGGAGAGCGTGGCTGCCGCCTGTGCTCTCTGGTGGGATTTTTATTTGTTCTTTGTAATGGGATTCATTTTGTCGGCATGTGATCATCAGCCCGGATCATCTACTGTGACTAGGGTCCTATACTCAGGCACACACACGTGTGCGCGCGCACACACACCCCTTTCCCAAAAACTTTCCACAAATATTTGCAATCATAATTTATTTACTTATTTTTTAAGATTTTATTTATTTATTCATGATAGACATAGAAAGAGAGAGAGAGGGGCAGAGACACAGGCAGAGGGAGAAGCAGGTTCCATGCAGGGAGCCCAATGCGGGACTCGATCCCGGGACCCCAGGATCACGCCCTGGGCCAAAGGCAGGCGCCAAACCCCTGAGCCCCCCAGGGATCCCCTGCAATCAGAATTTAATTCATCTCTCAGACGTTTCTGAAATGGACACAGTCCTAAACAATTCTTTAGATTGCTTTGTAGAAATGTGGAGGTTCCGGGTTTTTATTGGAAACACTCTAGATAGAGCACAAATAGGAACACTTAGGATCCTCTCGTCCTCATGAAACTGTGGTGTGCGTGTGTGTGTTTGTGTTCCTGTGGGTATGCCTGGGACTGTGCTCAAGGGTGAATATGAGCTGTACCGTAAACTCAAGCTGTTGTGGTTGGCGTTAGTGTGAAACGATCAGTGAAAACTCATAGCGCAATGAGAGAGCTATGTTGATCCTCCCACATTCCTGCCAAGAAAAGCTTCAAATCGCATCACCCTTTCCTTTCCATTGTGCTCTGAGTTTTCCTTTATTGTTTATTTTTTATCTTAAAAGGTCCTTAACCTAACAGAAATCACCAATTTCCTTTAAGAATGCCCTTTATCCCTGGAGACCATGATCCAAAGACGCCTGCCGCTGGGATTGGCCATCGATGCTGGTTTGCTCAGGATGGTCCCAGTTATGCCCGAGGTCATTGCATAATAGGAGCAGAGCCACCATTCACTCTCAAAGTGTTCTAGTTGGGTGAGAGTGATATAGTTCCCCAATCTATCATGTAGGTAATTTTGACCTTAACCGTCACAGGTCTTCATTCATTCATTCCTGTGCTCCCCATCACAGGAGAAACATGTATAACGTATCTACTGTGTGCCCTTATAATGCACCAAGCATTGTGTGCCAAGCACTGTGCTGGTTGTGGGGGTGGGGTGGGAGGGAGTCTGAGATGGGGGGGATGAGGGTGGGAAACAAGGACAGAAACGTCCAGCAGCCCTTGCCCTCATGGAGCTCATAATCCATTGGAAAAGACCAAAACATGTAATATCTATCCAACATCAAAGGAGGTGTGGTCAATTTTGCGTGTAAAGAGTTGAGGACACACAGAGGATGGGCAGCCAACCCACCCCAATCCATTCAGGGGAGGGGGGTAGTCATAGAGGGCTTCCCATGAGAGACGATCATCCTCTTCAACCATCAAAATGGTCTCAAAGGAGTCATGAAATATTGCCCGATTTAGGTTCTAGAGGAAGCATAGCTTTCTAGAGCTTTTTTTTTGTTGGGGGTGGGGTGGGAAGGTGGTTGGAGGATGTGTTTGAAAATCTACCTGCAACCTCTCTCCAACCCTGTACTTCTAAAGGCCAGAATAAGATTTGGGTTTCCTTTCTCCTTTGTCCGTTTCCTGACGCGTGAACTTGGCAACCAGAAGGAATAGAATACGGTGGGTAGAATTAGTTAGGGTGAGGCATTCCAGCTGCTTTAACAAATCTACTCACCGGCTTAACGTAGTAAGGGCTTATCGCTCACCTATGCACTGTTCTGAATGAACAGTCTTGGTGGTCGAACTGTCATTCTGGGGCCCAGGCTCTGTCTGTATTGTGACTCCACCATTTTCTGGAGCAGGAGTCCGCCAAATTGGGCCTGCCGGCTGCTTGTGCGTATGAAGTTTTACTGGAGCACAATCTCACTCATTCGTTCACCTACTGTCTATGACCGCTTTGCATTATAAGAGCACAGTTGAGTAGCTGCAGCAAAGACCACATAGCCCACAAGCCTAAAATATTTATTAATCCGGCCCATCACAGAAAACATTTGCTGACTACTACCCCAGTGCCTTGGAATTCTCTCCAGGTCTTCTGCGTCTACCAGACAGTGTCCTCCAGTAGATTAAAAAAAGAGTGTGCACGAGCTTTTGGAGATTTTAATGGGCAGGCCTGTAAGGGACACACACAACTTCTGACCACATCCTGTTGGCCAGAGCTCAGCTCACAGAGACAGGTACCTACAAGAGCAGCTGGGAAATGCAGCCTCGCTCAGGTATATTTGAGCAAAGACCTCAGGAGGATCAAGGAGGAATTGCTATTGACAAGAGGCTGTGAAGGCATATGCATCATTTGGTTGGTGCCCGGTCCTGTTTGGGTTTGCTCAGGACCCAGAGTTCGAGGAACTTTTCTTTTCCTTTTTCTTTTTTATAAAGATTTTATTTATTTATTCACGAGAGACACAGAGAGAGGCAGAGACATACAGGCAGAGGGAGAAGCAGGCTCCACGCAAGGAGCCCAACGTGGGACTCGATCCCGGGATCCCAGGATCATGCTCCGGGCCAAAGGCAGGCACCAAACCGCTGAGTCACCCAGGCACCCCTCGAGGAACTTTTCTGAAACAGATGGTGCAAACATTCGCTCAGGACTAAATGAAATGATCGAGGTGGCTGTCTCCTCCACAGGGGGTCTGGGAATTCCTGGCATCTTGGGAGCAGATCTTTAGGACTAAATGAAATGATCGAGGTGGCTGTCTCCTCCACAGGGGGTCTGGGAATTCCTGGCATCTTGGGAGCAGATCTTTCTCCTGAAGACAGCCCAGCGCCTGGAGGGGCAGCTTTGGTGCTTGAAAAGTCCTAAGATTTGCCTCCCTGCGGTGTGTCACAGGTGTCAGTGGGGCTGCAGAGGTGTGGTCAGCTCATTGTTCCCCAGTGTGCGGGGCAGAGCAGAGGCCCTCGCGCTCCCTTCTGCTCACTTGAGGGGAGATGCCTGGGCTCTTCTTCCCCACAGAGGCCCAGCTCCTCCCCCCGGGGGGCCGGACGCTCGCGAGAGGCACAGCTCTGCTCTCTAGGCGAGAGTGGGAACTAACAGA